AAGATTTAAAATAACGGCCTACTTATAATAAATAATAAACTCGTTATCTTTAAAGAGGATAACCTATATATTATAATAATTTATAAAGTATATAAATGAAAGCTCCTCGCGTACTTAAACTAAAATAAAATAGTTAAAATAGTTAAATAGCGATATTATTAGCCCGGCTTTATAATAAATATATATTAATATATTAAAAACTACTATACGTACCGTCGCTTTTAAAAACTCTATAATAGGCCCCCGGGGGAGCTAAGGCCTTTATTAATACCCGATTACCCGTAGTAATATATTTTAATAGACTTTATAATAGTACCCCCCGATTAAAAGGGCTATAATATAATATATGTAGTAGTTAATAAACTAAATAAAAGGGCTATTTTAATACCCTATTATAAAACCAGTACGGTATAGGATATAAATAAAATGTTTTATAAAAAAGTATTACTAATCTTCGGGCTATTTAAAACTATTACCTCGGACCGTAGCCCTTAGTTTATATTAAACTTTTAAAAAGAACTATATAAGCTCTGCGGCGTTAAACTATAATTATTAATAGCGGACTATTTATAAATAAATAGCTAGACTAAGGTCCTAAACTAGTATATTTTTTAATAACTACGGCCCTTAATTAATTATTATTAAAATAATCAAAGCGATATACTCCTTATAATTAATTTTATTTATATAGCTTAGCTAAGTAAAACTATAGGGCTATTGTTTTATAAAATCGAATTCGGTTATTAACCTTAATTATTTTTTAATTAGATTATTAGAACTTAGCGCTTTAATTTAATAAAAAAAAAGCTTAATTATATCGAGGCCTAGTAAATAGCTTTAAGTATTTACGAGGCCTAGGAGATCGCTAAAGGTAATATAAAAGTTATTTAAATAAAATATTAGAAATATATTAACCGTTATTAACGGCCTAATAATTTAAAAATTAGTAATAAAGTATTTATAGATATATTTTATTAAAAAACTAAAGACGTTAATAAACTATAATAACCCTAGGCCGGCCCCTAGCCTATTATTAACGCTAGCCTAGGTAATATATAGATCGTAGAATTATTTATAAAAAGTAAAGCTTACCCGGTCTTTTATTTAAATAAATTATAAAAAGCTATAGAGGACCCCTTATTTAAATAGTACTAAGACCCCCCGCTATTAATCTATTATAGTATTAATAAATTAGAATATAAAATTTTATAGGTAATTAAGTTACGGGTATAGTATAATAAGCTATAGTACTAAGCTAATTAAAAAGAGTATAATAATAACCCGATATAGTATAACGTAGAGAGCTTTTATAACGTACTAATAGTACTATAAGCTTTTTATAAATAATACCTTATAGCCGCGGGACTATTACGGAACCTCTCGTTATAAATAGAAATAGTAGTTAATAATAACTTAGCTTAGCTATAGGCTAATAATAATACTATAGTAGTCTTTATTATAATAAATTTATTAAAAAATATTTAAGGGATTTATTAAACTTCTTTCTTTTATAGCTTAGCTAAAACGCTATCGTTAACGAATTCGGGACTACTATTTAAAAGCTAATTTTTTACTTTATATAACTATATACCTCCCTAACGATTTAACTAGTCCCGGAAATTAATAAAGGATTCTTTATATATTAATAATAAAAATAACCGTTACGAGCGCCGCGGCGTAATACCTCGACCTATTATTATTTACGTTAAATATAGCTAACTAGCTCGAAGCCCTTTAACGTAAAAAAGGCCTCTATATTTACTACTAAGAAGTATTATTCGCTATTAATAAAATCCGTAATTTATATTATAATTACTTAATTAATATAAATAACTATAATATCTTCGTTACTTTTTTATGGGCCTCGACTTTTAGTAATTATAAAATCGCGCTATTTAATACCCCGTTAAAGAACTAAGTTAAGAAAGAGGATCTAAAAGCTAATAGTAAGAATATAAAAGGTAGTATAATAGAGGATTAGTATACCTAGGTTATAATAATAGTTAAAAACGCTATTTAAGGTTAGTACCTCTTCGTTTATAATAGTAATATAAAGGATATTAACGAGAATACTTAAATTATTAATACCCTCCAAAGTTTATAATAAACCCTTTAAAAATAGGTTTTAATATATAATAGCTTTATAGTCTAGTACTTTATAAACTAGACCTGTACTAATATTAACCTCTATTTTATTAACGCTTATAAAAAAGTAAAACTCTAAACTTTATTAAATAATAATAAAATAGAAAAAGGTAACGGATAGCTAATAAAGTTTTAGCGGCTTATAAAAAAATAATTATAGAGGATATAGGTAGATAGTTAAGTGCTATAAATAGCGCTTTTTATACTAAAAGGGGGGGGGTAATATTATAATACTAAGCGCTAGGCCCCTATATACCTAAGCCTTAGGTACCCAGCGGACCCTCTATAAATTATATAATTATTAAACCGCTAAACCTAAAAGCCTAGCGGCCTAAATTTTACTTATTAATTTACTTTTTCTTTTTTTATATTAAAATATATCTATTAAGTTAATATAGTAGCGTTCCGACCTGCCTCGAATTCCCTTTTATAATAATAATAATAATAAAGATATATAAAAGCTAGCTATATATATTAAGGACGTAGCGTTAATTAATATATATAAAGATCGATTTTAATTAAATAGCGTACCCTAGCTCTTTAAAAACTTAAAAACGTATTTAATTAGCTATTATTAAGCGGCTTATAACGTAGCGACGTAACTATTAATAATAACGACCTAAATATAATTATAAAATTATAAATAAATAACGTAAACGTATTATTTATTATTAATCTTTATTTTTAAATATAGCGTCCGTACCTTTAAGTATAGCGTCTATATTTTTAAATATAGCGCCCGCGGCCTCTTTATTATTACTCTTTTTATAATTATCCTCGTTATTACGTTAATTAAAGAAGTAATAGCTTTATTAATTCCGAATTTATAAATAATTAACTATAAATATAGAGCGCGGATAATATAATTTACTAACTCTAAAATATTATTAAAGTAGCGAACTTTATTATAAATAAAATAAAAGAGCTTAATTATTATATCGTTACGAAAAGAAAATAGAGTATTAAAGGAGCTAGACGGAGCGTTAAAAAAGCTCGTAATTATTAACTATTTATTATTATTATTACTATTTAAAAGCTTGATAATAAAAGCTAAATAAACTTTAATATATTTAAACGCCTTTTATATATTATTAATAATAATTTTAAAAGTATTCTAGGCTTATAAAGTAGCGTTAATAATATAACTAGTAGCGAAGATAAAATAATAAACTATAAAATTATTAAAGCTATTATTTAAAGCTCGGGTAGTGCTCTAAAGGGTTTATATAATAGCGATATAGGACTTAAAGACTTAGTATATTATTAATATAACGCTTAAATAAAGTAAAAAAATAATAATATCGCTATAAACTTATTATTTCTTTATATTTATAATTTTAAAAAGCGTATTCTATATAGTATAGGCCGGTACTTAAATAAATATATTAAATTAAAAAGAGAAGCGAATTAATAATTAAAAATTACTAACCTATTTAATTATAGTACTTAGCCTTAAGATCGATTACTTTATATATAACGTAAGAAAAATAAAAAAGTAAATAAATTTAACTACACACTATAGCTTTTTTCTTTTTTTTCTTTTTTTTAATAAAGGTTTATAACGGTTAATAAAAGTAGTATATAAGTACTAAAAAGGGGACTTATAAAGTTAGGACGGGTTTAAAAAATATTTTTTTTAAATAGTCCGCTACCGCCGCTACTACTACTTATACTTATACCGCTTATAATAATATTATTAATAATAATAATAACGCTACTAGTTTTTTTAATAAAAGCTATTATAAAAACTAAATAAATATTAATAATAAATATAGAGTAACTATATAAAAACCTAACCGAATTATTAGAACGTCGGAGTATAAAATATAAAAATCTAAATTATTTATTAGCTCGTAAAACTTATAAAATAATAAAATAATATAAACGTTAATAAAACTAAAGAACTATATATAAAAAAAATAACTATAAAAAAAAGGGAATTTAGGAGCTATAGTAATAAAAAAAATAATATTAATAAATAAAAATAAAATATTAACTACCCTCGTACTAGAAGAAGTAAGAATAGCTAAAAGTAATTATAACCTAGAGTTAAAATTATAGGGCTACTTAGATTTATTATTTAAAATAAAGGACCTATACTCGGGCCGATTAATATTATTTCTATTTACCTTTATAATATATATTAAAGATTTTATAATATAAAAAATTAAAATAGCGTTTTTAAACCGTATTTAAGCTTTAAAACGAAACTTAAAAGAAAGGGGCGCTTTATTAAGCTCTATTTAAATAAAGAATAGTATAAATAATAATAAAAAAAGACTAAATAATAAAGAAATAGTTTAAGTATATATATAGCGCTAATAGTATACTTTAAAAGAGGGGCAGATTTTAATAATTTATTTTCTAGACCTTAATAGTAGTTAGCCTCTATGAGCTTCTTCCCTATATCGTATACTTATTAATACTAATGGCGATTAGCGACGTGCTATAATTTAGAAGGCCCACGGCATTATTCAAATCAAATTATAAACTCTGAAAACAGTTAGTATAAATCGATGTCTCTCGCTGTGACCTCTAATGTTATCTGAGCTCCAGTATTGTGTCACGTGGACTAGGTCCAGTGTCACACCATTTGGGTTCACAGCATCTAGTCAGAAAGAGATACATCTACTCAGTTTGCTACAACTCAGTCCAATCTCACCGCATCACGAATTAATTTCCCAAGAGGCCGAAATCAGAAGCGACGGATGCCATACGAGTTGGAAAAATGCTATGTGGGGTTATGCGATGTGACATGTTACTCGATGTGTTCCGGATCTTTACTACTACTCGTGCAATGTAGACCAAACTGAAGTCCCATGGGATTCTCTCCAAATCCTTTCCTGCGGCTTGTTCTAGGACTTGAAGTCCGGAAGTGTGGCCTCAAGCATCTTAAGAGCAGCGTCTTGATTCCCTTCCACCGTCTTCAGACTGGCTCGAAGCGCCTGTGTCTTTGAAGCAGTATTGTACGACATTGGGCCAGCCGAACAGAATCCATTGCCACTCACGACATTGAACTCAGCTGTCACTGAGTCGACATGTGGCGTGCCCTCGCCTGGGCTCCCAATGTCTACAGTGACCATGCCCCAATCCTCGACGTGATTGTGATTAAGAATACGCACAATCTTGCCATTCGCCCCTGGAAGACGTTGTGGAACATCTTGCATGAGTTTCTCGAGGTCCTGAGCCTTAACCGTGCACACTATCCCATCGTCAATAGGTTCACCGTGACCGCCTACTAGGTTTAGGATTTGACGTGCGTAGTTGACTTCTATATCAGGTTTGAAGAAGTTATTGACCCGCTCCACAATGCTGATGTTGATATCGACCGTCCCCTCAGTGGTGCCCTGTACGTAATTATGCGCCACCAAGGAGGTGATCAATGTGCTCTGCGCCATAATGAGGTCGACTTGCATCCTGTCGAAAGTCTTAAGACGAGCATCACCACGAATTAGCTCGTTTAAGAAGGCCTTGAATTTGTTCTCGGCAGGACTGCCGAATTCTTCGGCAGCTGCTTTGAGGTTGCAAGCCTTTTGCTTGACCAGTTCGACGGAAGCGTAGACCAGAGGAGTGTGATGCTCCTCGTCAACTTGCACAATGTTCTTAAGGATCTGTTTCGTAATTGCAACTTGCGCACAGACACTGTCAAGCGTCTTAAAGCCATTCTTGTTGCGTTCTTTGATGCGTTCTAGTGCCGTCGTAATCCGTTGAACAGTTTCGAAGGTTGCTTCGAGTACCTCAACGCATGCGACTACGAGACCAACAATTTCCTGCTATCTGGTAAGGACATGGATGGCAAACGATCAATAGAATTGAAAAGTCGTCACATACAGCCATGTTGACTTTGGGCCGATTCAAGTCTATTTCGAATACGAAGTCGTGGTACGAGAAAGGTAGATACGAGGAGAGGAATTGCTGGAGAAATGTCGCGGAGAAGAGGATGAATGAAGCCCTGAGCAGTGTCTACTTGAAAATCTGGGGAGATCGAGAATAATAGTATGAGAGAAGAATCCGTCACTTACCAAAACTAGAAGGTCCATCTGGAAGGGGCTGTGCTGCTGCTCCGCATTTGATATGATCCAAATTGAAATTGTCGATGCGAGTAGCCAAGTGTTGATCCAGCTTGTAATGGGCTTTGAGGCGTAGCAACTGACGAGATGTTAATGGCTTGATTGGTTAGGGTTTGATGACTGCATGATGTATTGAAGAAGCCTGCAGAAAACTAACGTATTGGAAAGTCTATCTAAATTTGCTGCATGTCTGGCCAGTCTGATATGCAATATGCTTGCCTCACTTTTCAAAGAGGGTGTTCACTTGCTGGAAGCCAGATCAAAGATCTTTCAACTTTTAAGATTGGTGGAAATTCTGTAGAACAGCTTTAGACACTGTGTACATATTGTAGCCTTAAAAAAAGAATCCAGGATATTGTGGGTGTGAAGAGATCGTTGCCGATTGGACATCTCTACACCGGCTGTAGCTTCATGTAGCTTAGCGAGCCGCAGTCCTCAACCAAACCAAGAGAAACAATAGCTTCCAGATAGGAAGCGCCATCAGTGGATAGACAAGTTTCAATTGCAAACGAAATGCCATTCCTGTCAACGCTTTTTGGGTCAAAGGGCAAGGAAGGACGCGGAGAGAGGCCGGGATCAACCAGACACTTTTACACACATCGAAGCAAACTGATAAGTCCCGTATATACGCTATGCCCCAACAAAACTCTTTTGAAGGACAACGATTGTTTTCGTGTTCCTTGTCTTATGCGTTCCCTCATCCTCGAACCTTTGCTTTCTATTCCTCCTCTCCTTTTCTTTCCACAGCCTCTCAGTTTGAACCACACAGTCAAACATGTCTTCAAATGCTCAGGAGGGTGTCTCGAATCAGCACTTGTTTCGCAGATACGCCCCTTGTGTAGAGCGAACTGGCCTTGGTGATGCCTTTCGAAAGCGTGTACAGCAGGACCGCATTTCGCATCAGAACCCCGGAACTCTCAGTACAACGGCATCGGGAAACGGTGTATATGACAACGGCGTATTGAATAGCGGGAAAAACGCGGGAGTCGTCTCTACAGGACTTTCTGGAGCTCGCTCTGAGCAATCGAATCAATTCATTTACTACCATAACCATTTTGGGGGTGGAGACTTTCATGCTTCAACGTCCTTGGCTACGAACAATACAAGCGAGCATATTGTCGGTCACTCCTGCGAGCAGCTAAGTGGTTCGTCCTCCACAACCTCTCGCGAATACATCGGGTCTGTGACCAAGACTCAAGTCGAGGCTCAGACATCCTCGCGTTGGGCAACCAAGACGAAAACTCCGAACAATGGCCCGCGAGTGCCCCGAATCCATCTTCCAGAGTCCGCGCAGGCAGGTTCTGATCAAACTGGGTCTTCGTCGGATTCAGAAGATGACTCCGCCACGGAGGAGGTATCTATCGAAGACTGTATTTCCAGGATAGACAGTCGTGGTACAATCGTCATTGCAGCCTTCGAGGAAATATTCAATCTGCTTCCGTCCCATGTAAGACGTCAGCAAGACGTACTTGAGCTGTGGAAGTTTGTGAAACAGCAACAATGTTTGTTTGCGAACTATCATACAAGCCTTTCTGGCGCTATTCGGCATGTCGCGTCTCAACCCTCTCAGAGCATGTTTCTCTCGGGAACATGTAATGATGTGCTGGAGACACTGGAAAACCTGCAAAAGGTTCTTGGTGTTCCAAAGGAGTTCATAAAGAGGATGTCTAAGAGGAAGCCTAGGGAGGTAACTGATGTAGGCATCTCCATATATCACCCCATTGACACCATTGTTAACTTCCAGCTAGGTTGCTAAATCTGTTGGAGTCGATTGCACGAGGAAGCTTAGAAAGTGGCAGAAGAGAATCACAGCTGCCAGCCAAAAGTACATGAGAACCGCATCCATTTTGATAAATAGCGACCCTCAACGAATCCATGACAACCAAATGGATCTTTCCCAAATTCTAAGCGACCTTTGCACCGAGTCACATGTCTCCGAACATCTCAAGAGATGTCTCTATCAGGCATGTTCACAACAGTGTCACGACAATCATACAGCCTACCTCAGACTAGAGCCTGAGACTCCTCTGGCTCCCCCTGACCCACTGGTCCCTGCTGCCGGAAAGAAAGTCGACTCAGGGATTCCTTCCTCATGCGAAACTACCTGGCATATCGCATTCAAGTCGACAATTGGCATACAACCCAAATTAACATGGCTGAGGGTTGTATCAACTATGCGTGTCAAATCCTCAATCATACCGATCTCACTAGTCGAACCACTCATTGAAAACGGACCCCTGAAAACCTCGATTTTCTCCTTAGGATCCGAGGTACACACAGAGACGATCCTCTCATTTTCACCGATGTCCAGAAAAAGGCGGGCATCTTCATCTCCACCGGAGCCCCCGCCAAAGCTTCAGAAGACAATACGCGGTCCAGCTCAGTCACAGGCAGGTTCAACTCATGAAAAGCGTAATGGGATCGAGATCTGCCCGGAGTATCTAACTGGACAGGAGCATGACAACACCCAATATGCCATCATGACAATATCGGATAGCGCCGGATGCGACCTTCGTCTGTTTTATTTACCTCGCTTGTTTCATACAGAAGAAGCACAGAAGACCACTCTTCGTGCAGCGATCAAACATAAACTTGAAAAAAAGCCCCAGAAAGGATGCGGATCTCTCCACTGGATTGCGAAAACGGCCCGGCTTGTTGCTGAGGCAGTAGTGCGCTTCGACTTAAGAGATGACAATAAGCCTTTGCAAGACATCATCATCTTCCATGAACCTAACGCAAGTGATTTACACTCAAGTGCTGCGCCATCGCTGGAGATCATGTTCAACGAAGCCAGCTTGTCTCCGACAAATGAAGCGCCCCCTCACATGCAAGACCGACATCGAGTTCACAAATGGTCTCGGAAGCATACCCTTCTAGAATTGGGAATCGTGCTGTTACAGCTTGGTACTCATCGAGATGATGTTGAAGATCTTCCGGCACCTCCAATTGGCCCCGAAGCCAAGCAATCATACATCAGGTCGCATGCAGAGAAAGCTGTGAATGGGGTCAGTGAAGGGTTTGCAGGCGCTGTTAGGAACTGTGCCATCCTTTTCGATCATGATGACGCTGCGAAGGAAGATGAGTTCTTGGGAAGGTTTTTGAAGATGGTTCTACAGCCTCTAAGAGATTGTGAGAAGACTCTCTGTACCCAAGGTGTCCTTCTATAAATTTCCTTACATGACGGTTCAGCCTCAAGACCGACGTTCAAAAGCCTCAACGTGCCTTCATCAACGTGGACCGGTCTCTCTTGGACGTCAGTTTCCCTTAATTCTAGTTGTAGTTGCTATGTACGTTTTCTCCAATCTCGTGACATTTTTGGTAAGTAGGAGAAGGAACCACAATACTCAAGAATTCCAATATCACACACACACAAACACAGACAGAAAGAGAGAGAGATACGAATGCAAAGAAATAGGCGAAGTTGATGTTTCATATATTACAAAACAATATTGACAGTGGCCGACGAGAATGGAACTTTCAAATTGTAATAAGTAAATGAATGTCGGATTTGAAGCAGCGCGACTTTAAGATGACAGTGTCAATTTGTTTCGGGACCGATCAAGCATGTGGATATCATGATCTGACGTTGGAATGCGAATTGGACTTTCGTGAAGCACCCAATTCTACTTAATCGTTAATATACGTATTTAAAGATAGATATTGCTTGTGCACGTTTATGTGTTATTTGGAAGCTGCTCGGCAGAGTAATCTAGGCCACTGATGCCCTAATATAGTTAGAACTATCGGATTAGAAGTTTAATTCGACCTCGAGGCAAAGGGCCTACGCAGGGGCTATTTATAGGCTATATTTATAATAATCGCGGCCTATTTAACTTATAATTAAAACCTTTCTTTTTTATTTTTATATAGAAAATTATATAGTTTAATTAACCTATTTTATTAACCTATAGTTCGAATTAATTAATTAATATATTTATAATAAATATGTTAATATTAATCCCTTTAAGGTCTAGCCCGCTTCACTAAGGGCTATCTTTGCCTTTATAAATAAGTTAGTTTATTAAAATAAATATTATATATTACTATATAATAAACTTTAAAACTAACTATAACCGACTATAACTATTAATACTAACTAAACTTAGATATTAATAACCCCGCTATAATATATTAATTACCTTTTAAATAGCTAAAAATTACCTCTTACTTTCTCCCTTTATTTTATTTAATAATAACCTCTCTCTAATACTCCTATTTAATACGCTCGCTTACGCTCGTTCTAAGCTCTTAATTATATTATTAAATCTAGACTTATTTATATTACTTTATTATATTAATAAAGCGCTAATAAAAATAATATTTATTATAATATATTTATCTATTTAGCTACGTAGCTTAGTAATATAAGCCTAGGGAGTCTAAGCGCTCGCTTAATTTTTAATATAATTTAAAAAAAAGCGGTTTAAATCTACTTATAATTAACGTTTTTTAATTTATATAACTAGTAACTATATAACGCTAATAAAGCGTACTCCGTAACCCTTCGGTAAGGGGTAGCTATATATAGCTAAATATAACGTTAATTTATTATTTATATATACGCGTATTATAAATTCTATATTATATACTAAACCTACGTTATATATAGTTATATAACTAGTGCCTACGTAACTAAATTAATAATATAATAATTTATTATAATTAAATTATTAAATAGGGCTAAACTAATTAACTTAAATATTATTACCTAGATATAAACGTAAAGTAATTATATAATAAAAAAACTAATATATAAAGGGTTAACTTAGGACCCGTTTATTTAAAAATCTATTAATATTATATAAGCGCACGCGCAATTAAATAAGTAAAAGAGATAGTACGTAAATAAAATATAAAAACCTATAATATATATTTATCTATTTTCTTCCTAACGGAGCAATCTGCCGGGGCCGTATTGTGTATTATATATTAAAAAAAACTAAATATATTATGCTCTAAACCTAATTACTAACTAAAATAGCTCTTGACCTTTTACTATATAAAGTTTTTTAAGTTCTAGCTATTTAGAGGGCGAGCTTTATTTATTTTAATATATATAAAACCTCTTAGTACTAGCCTACGTAAGCGGCTAGGTTTAATATAATCTCTTTTTTTATATAGGTATTATCGTTACCCGGGGGGGCTTATAAAAGCTATTTTAAGCGCCGGCTTATTATTTTAAGTTTATATATTTCTAGCCCGCCTATTTCGGCTATTATAACTAGGCTAGTATTAATATATTAGATCTTAATATTAATATTAGCCCGGCTATTTATAACGTTCGTATTATTATTTAACCGAATTTTATACTATTAAAAAGTACTTCGTTATTTTTTAAGTATATTTACGTTAATTATAATAGTTATAGTATCGAGCTAGTTAAAAAAAAAGGCCTAGTTTAAGGGGGGTAGATTTATCAAAGGGTATCGTTAAGTTCTCGTTAATATAGTTTAATTAGCTAGACTTTTAACTAGTTCTAACTAATTATTTAATTAGTTACCTAGCTAGTAGTTTATATATTAATAGGTTTGTTTAATAGGTTTATTTAGTAATTTATTTAATTTAAATAGAGAGAAGTTTATAGGTAATATAAGAAGTAATAAAGATAAAAAGAATCTTTATAAGCTCTAAAGAGTAGCTAGATATTAGCCCTTTTAGCCCTTTTTTTTAAAAACCTCTACGTTACTATTAAAGTTTAGAACCTCTATAGTTAAAAAAAGCTATCTCCGACCTTTATAGCCGACCTTTATAACTAACTTTTATAGTTAACTTTTTTAACTATTACCGCTACGTAAAATAGCTTACCTATCTTAAATTATATAGTAGTTTTTATATTAAAATCACTATACTAAGTTAAGTACGTATTTAAAGTATATTGCGCGTATTATATAGTTAAAAAGTATACCGTATTATATAATTTCTTTTAGAAGCCTAATCCCGTTAAGGTCGATCTTTTACGCCTATAAAGCTAGAAAAAAACCACTATATATTTAACTATTTTTTATAAATTAATATTATAAATATAGTATTTATTAAAGCGGTACCTTTATATATCTAGGTTATTTAGTATAATGCTTATAGGATCGAACTTCTAGTTATTAAAAAAGCCCTAAAGGTTAATAAGTTATTAACGTCTTAGTATTTTAACGTATATTTAAATAAGTAAATAATTTAATAGCGATAGTAATAGATAGTAAAAGAAATAGCGTTTTCGACTTTAATAAAAGAAACGAGGTAATAAATGTATATATATATACAAGTTAAAGTTAAAAGTAGGGCGGCGTTATTTTAATAAAAGCGACGAGGGCATCTCCGATACTACTATTATAAGCTATTATTATTTAGAGGGGCCGTAAACTTAGCTAAGTAGGTATAAGTTTATAAAGTAATAGCGTTGCGCGCTTTAATATTATTATTAATTAATCCGTAGTTAAAAGAGGGAAAGTTAAAAAGGTAAAAAGAAATCCAAAAAAAAAAACAGTCTATTAAAATAATAGGAATATCTACTAATACTATATATAAATACTATATAAGCGATATTAAGAATCGCCCGAGTAGCTAGTAAAGATAGAATATTAAAACAAATATTAATATTAATTAATAAATAAATTCTATTATTATAAATTAAAAAACTAATTTATAAAATTAAAGAAAACGACTTTTTTAAATAGATAATAAAATAATCGTATTAATTAGCTTTATAAAAAGTAAATAATAAAATATAAATCTCTATAATAGAACGAAAGAAAAAAATCGTAGCCCTTAACTATTTATAAAAGGTCGACGTTTATAATATTAATTTTTTATTAATTAATAAAAATATAAAAGTAACCGAGATATTATTATTATATTTATATACTTTTTCTCTTTTTAATATTACCGCGGTTAGCTTATATTTAAAAAATTATTTAATTAGTTAATTAATAAAAAGAATTGCCTATATAATAATTACCTATTTAAATTAACTTATATAATAAATAAACTTAATTATAAAATATAAAAAGGGTATTATATATTATAGGTTTTTATATTTATCTACGTACTATCTCTTTTACTTATTTAATTATGCGTACGCCTATATATTACTAGTAGATTTCTAGATAAGCGGGCCCTAGGTTAACCCTTTATATATTAGTTTTTTTATTATATAATTACTTTACGCTTATATTTAAGTAATAGTATTTAAGCTAACCGGTTCGGCCCTATTTAATAAACTAATTATAATAAATTATTATATTACTAATCTAGTTATATAATTAAATACGTAATTCTAGTATACGATATAGAATTTATAATGCGCGTATACGTAAAGTAATAAATTAACGTTATTTTAATTAGCTATATATAGCCGCCCTTATTAAAAGGTTACGGGGTACGCTTTTATTAGCGTTACGTAATCGTTAGTTATATAAGCTAAAAAACGTTAATTGCGGGAAGATTTAAACCGCTTTTTTTTAGATCGTATTAAAAATTAAGTAAATACTTAGACTCCCTAGGCTTATATTACTAAGCTACGTAGCTAAAAAGGGTATTATATAGTAATTTCTTTTTAGCTTTATATTATAACTTAATATACATAACTAAGACTAGGGCCTGCCCTGCAGGCTTGTAGCGGCTATAATATACTATATATATATAAGGACGTTAATATAAAAGTTATTTTAATAGAATAGAAGAACTATAGATAAGTTACGTAATAATAAAAAGGACCGACAGATAATAAACGGTTTATAAATAAGACCGATAAAATAAAGGTAGTTTACCCCTATAGGACTAATATTATAATATCGGTCCTGATTATAAAGGAACTATTTAGATAGTATACGGGACTTATATATAGGATAGACTCGAGCCGGGCTTAAAAATAGACTTCCTATAGCTTTTTTAATAATTAACTTAATATTAAATCTTATAATCGTTTTTAGCTATTTTTACTAAGAACCC